TCCTCTCTATCGAATGTTGGTTCCTCAAGTCAGCCTCTCTATCTAATGTGGTTGCCTCAAGGCATCCTCTCTATATAATGTGGTTACCTCGAGTCATCCTCTATCTAATGTCGTTTCCTCAAGTCATCCTCTCCATCTAATGTGGTTACCTCAAGCCATCCTCTCTATCTAAAGTTGTTACCTCAAGTCATCCTCGCTATCTAATGTGGTTGCCTCATGTCATCCGCTCTATATAATGTGGTTACCTCGAGTCATCCTCTATCTAATGTCGTTTCCTCAAGTCATCCTCGCTATCTAATGTGGTTGCCTCATGTCATCCGCTCTATATAATGTGGTTACCTTAAGTCATCCTCTCTATCTAATGTGATTACCTCAAGTCATCCTCTATCTATTGTGGTTTCCTCAAGTCATCCTCGCTATCTAATGTGGTTACCTCATGTCATCCTCTCTATCTAATGAGGTTACCTCAAGTCAACCTCTCTTTCTAAAGTGGTTACCTCAAGGCATCCTCTCTATATAATGTGGTTACCTCAAGTCATCCTCTATCTAATGTGGTTTCCTCAAGTCATCCTCTCTATCTAATGTGGTTACCTCAAGTCATCCTCTCTATATAATGTGGTTACCTTAAAGTCATCCTCTCTATCTAGTCTGGTTGCCTCAAGTCATCCTCTCTAACTGTCTCATGTGGTTATTTTTTAATTACTTGAAATCATTTATGATCCACAATATAGAACTTTCCAAGCTAACTTCAATTTATCATTTATATCTTATACACCTTATAAATTAATAACCTCAGATCATTTTCATTTACACCATTATAATTTGGTTACTTCAAGTCATTCTCTCTGTCCCCTATTTATCTATCTAGTATCAAGTGTGACTATATCTTGGGTCAAGTTCAACTGATCTTTGCGCATCAAATATAGCTAAATGTATATTTGGTCACCCCTATCAGTATCTCTATGGAGTTACGTATACCTCATGACATGTTATCATCCTCAGTACTCCGAGGTTATCTCAAATAATCCTTTCAGATCTCTATATGTAGTGTAGTTATCTCAGGTGACCAGGTTATCTTCTTTGATCTAGCTATACTGTGGTTTTAGTTAACCAGTTCATCCCTTATATTTAACGTCAGTTACAGTAAACCTTTGGTCAGTTCGAATAGGCGGATAGTTCGAACACACTTTTTGAACAATAAAAATAATAATTTTCTGTCTCGGATAGTTGGAACCCTGCTTACACACGTTTCGGATTGTTCTAACACACAACTTGATTACTGAACTTAAGTAATTATGCTATTGATCGAGGTTGGTTATCGGCGATGCAGTAATAGCCTAGTGAAACTCGCTTAAACTTGATCTATTTGCTCATCGACAGCGTTTAACCACTGAATAACGGGTAGTACTCATGTGCGACCACCGTTATCATCAATGTTGGACAATTTGTACATAAATCGCATGTCACCGATAACTGAGTTTCTTTGATGTAAACATGTGCACGCGTCAGTCGAACATCTTTAGGCCCTGGCCATGTATAATATCCTAACAGTACACGGAGCTTGGAATGTTACGTCACATCGCTGACAGACATGTGTATTGTCATGATATTACTGTGATAACAATTTGATTATATAATCACGACCTGGCCACCGATCACTGATTTATAACTTAATTGATATATTACCTATGCATGTGCCAAAACAAAAATATCTGACCAGGTTGTCGATCGAGCTATTAATCCGTAATTGCAGTTTCAATCCACCCTCCGCATTCTGATCCGTCCAACTGAACTTTCGTCATTACTCGAGAAAACTTCTACTACTTTGCGGCCAACACACTTGAACTTAATAATTGATTATCAATATTTATGTAAATATAAGAAAGATATATATACCATTATTCATCTCCAGATTTGCAAATATCCGTATCAATGACTTGACTGTTTGCCGTGATTTTTGCCGTTGTCGACTTGGATAGTTTGAATTACTTATTATTTTAGCAGTTATAATTTAATGTAATTCGAACAGGATTGACAACATTTATTTAATTTTGTTCGAACTGGCCGAAGGTTTACCGTACCTTACCGAAGGTCATCATCTCTGCCCACTATATATATAGTAGTTAATGCATCCCAAAATCTCAATTGCCTCTGTGTCCTATTATTGCTATATAAATGTGTTATATGCGGCTATTATTTAGCTCACAGAATACTCTTCTACCTCTCGGCACAAGAGTTTGTTTCTAACTATAAGACAGATAAATATTTGGTAGGGTTCTTATGTTTCTTCCTCTTATAGTGGCCCCTGAATGTTTTTCTGTGTTAAAAATTAATATGAATAGAAATCAACCATGTAGCTATATATATATATATATATATATATAGTCTAATTACTTGGTATATTATTTTATTTATCTGTACAATTGTATCTAACAGGTATGGGTTGTTTCCTTTAATCATATGTAAAAGGATCGTTTTTTCACTTCAAAACCAATTATAACACCCAAGTTTGTTGATCTTGGGTCCGTCAGGGTCTTACAGTCTGATATAATTGAAATTTGGCAAAATAAACTCAGACACAGAAATATAAACTTCAGGTAGTTTATCAATATGACATGGAAATATATGAGCACAGGGATATGAGTTTAGACCATGCTGTCACACACTCGAGCACACATACACATCAATAACATGGATTTATTTCCATGTGGTACAATTGCAAGGCCTAACTGAATATATATACTGACGGCTACACGGACATATGCCTATTGAATAGACGACGAAGTGATATACTGACGGCTACACGGCCATATGCATATTGAATAGACAACGAAATGATATACTGACGGCTACAAGGCCATATGCCTATTGAATAGACTACGAAATGATATACTGACGGATACACGGCAATATGCCTATTGAATAGACGACGAAGTGATATACTGACGGCTACACGGCCCTATGCCTATTGAATAGACGACGAAATCATATACTGACGGCTACACGGCCATATGCCCATTGAATAGACGACGAAATGATACACTGATGGCTAGACGGCCATATGCCTATTGAATAGACGATGAAATGATATACTGACGGCTACAAGGCCATATGCCTATTGAATAGACGACGAAATGAAATACTGACGGCTACACGGCCATATGCATGTTGAATAGACGACGAAATGATATACTCACGGCTACACGGCCATATGCCTATTGAAGAGACGACGAAATGATATACTGACGGATACACGGCAATATGCCTATTGAATAGACGACGAAATGATATCCTGACGGCTACACGGCCATATGCCCATTGAATAGACGACGAAATGATATCCTGACGGCTACACGGCCATATGCATGTTGAATAGACGACGAAATGATATCCTGACGGCTACACGGCCATATGCATGTTGAATAGACGACGAAATGATATACCGACGGCTACACGGCCATATGCCTGTTGAATAGACGACGAAATGATATCCTGACGGCTACACGGCCATATGCGTATTGAATAGACGACGAAATGATCTACTGACGGCTACACGGCCCTATGACTATTGAATAGACGACGAAATGATATACTGACGGCTACACGGCCGTATGCCCATTAAAAAGAAGACGACATGATTCAAATCACGACTCTGAAACTCATACAAAATTGCTACATGACTATATAGAAACTACTGCTAGTACTGTGACTGGTAAAATATCTACGCTTACATTATCCTATTGCGGTTGAGAGACCCTATACCTACAGCTACTCCTACAGTAGAAAAGAGGTGAGCCGAACCAGTCTTGTCAAGACTTTTATTCTGACTGCCAAGGCACACAGTGACAGGTGTACCAGCTTAAATAGACAAAACAGATAGATAGATAAACTTCCGGTATATCAATCATGATGACAGTCGTCAAATATAACTCTTAAAGTTTAGAAATTTACTAAACTTTTACACATACATTGTCCATATACAAATAAAATAAATATCATTCAATAGACTATGCAGTATGTATCTAACATTACAGGGAATAAATGAGAAATATTTTATAGAAAAAAAAAAGAGAAAAGTGATTAAATATAAAAATGAGATCAATCATTCATACTTGCCAACTTTTTTGAAATTTCGATGGGGGATATTACACATGCTCATATTTAGAAACATAAGTAAAATGTGTGCCAACAATTTTCTCCCACAACCACTATTTGTTTCCTCACTCCTGACCCATACGATGAACCTGCTAGGAGTTCGTAAACATTTTACCCTGGGCGTGATTTCATTGGTCAATTTTTTACTTATGACGCTACGTAACATATATGGTGTTATATGAAAAAGATGTGTATTATTCTCTATATATGATGAATTAAGCTATATATAAACATACATAAGTATTTCTAGCTAATTTTATCATATAAGTCTATACAAGCCCCTGTGCCTCTAGAGGAAAACCACTATTTTATTAAATTGCATCTTCTGTCAGAGCTGTTCGTTCAAATGAAATAATCAGATCTTAGAAAATAGGAATAGTTAAGCAATTCACTAGTTGGAAAGGCCCAATTTGTAGGTCAAAAAACGTGAGTCTATGATCATCTGATCATTGCCATTGGTGAATGTTCGGCGGACGATCAATATTGCGGAAGGTTAAATAATGTGTCCTTTGAATAACATCTACTGACTACATTAACATACTTTATAATTATTCCAACATATCAAAGAGTATTTAGCAACTTCCTTCAAAGTTGCATCATATGCATAGGCATGTGAGACCTAAAACGAAAATAGGGAGATGATCATCGGAGCACGACACAGAATCGAGGGGAAATAAACCACGTGTTTTTGTAACACTGAACGTAATGTTTTCAACTTACAAGCAAAAAAATATCAGAGGGGTTTTGTTAAATTGATAACTTTGATGAAAAATTTGAAAATTATATAGCAAGCAGACAATCTTACCTTTATTTGGCAGTGGAGCCCTTGACTTTTGCGACATGATGACAAAGGATGTGCACATATATATGTGACGTAGTATGCACTTCCGGTTAAAGAATACAGGAGTGGAACCGTTTAGCAGGGTGAGTTTATTACTGGTAAAAAAGTATCGACGAAAAACATTATTTATTGGCAGTCATTGAATACAATTAACCATGTACATTTTAGTAACTACCAGTTTATGCTCGTACAAAGCTCGTTATTACAGTATATGCGTTGAATTTATCTCAGAAGTAGGCTAATCTAACCATTGAAACGGGGTTGAGATCATCAATGACATCAACCCGGAACCGTTTATAAGGCGTGCAATTAATAAAAAAAGTTTAATGTAATGATGCCTATGGCTATATAAAAAGCTTAAACTGTGTACGCTGTTCATATTGTGCATACGTGCAGAGGATTTCCCCCTCTAAGTTGAAAGTATGCGTTTTTCTTCCAGTGTCGTGATGATGTCATTGATGATCTCAACCCCGTTTCAATGGTTTATTATCGGTTCCGGGTTGTTTCGCCCGAAATCCTGTTCGCCCTAAAACAGAAATATTAGGGCGAACTATTTTATGGTATTGTCTTTCAATTTTACCAGTTTTAAGTCACAAATTAAGTCTTCTTAGTCTTCCATATCATTAAAATCAATTTCATAGACAAAATGTGTTTGTCTTATTATTAAGCGACAAACGGTAGCTGTGAAAAGCTGACTCTGCTCTCACATACTCTACATGTAAACCTCACACCAATGGGGAAAGTCATCAATAGGTTCAGTTGATACATTTGAATATAATTATTAAATATGAGCATATAATATTTTTTTTAAATTAGGGCAAACAGGATTTAAAGCGAAACAACCCTTAGCGCGAACGGGATTTAGGGCGAAACAACCCGTTAGCTTATAAACACTGGATTGATCAGGAACTGTCTGGTTTATATATAATTACTGTATATAACTAGCATACCTTGTTAAACATGAAACATTGAATTTATATTATATATGTTAACATGTGTAAAGGTTTTTTTAAATATGTTTAAGTCTAGTATAGAAGATCATGCAGATCCTTTATCAGAAAATCAACAACACTAAACAAAAATTTTGTGTTAAAGGATTGGACCATGGCCAGGTGACTACCAATAACCTGAAGTAGCCAATTTGGAGAATATCTGATTAGAGTCCGAGGGTCTCGGGTTCGAATCCCTATCTGGCCCCATAATATAGATACATGTAATGATCAAAGTGAAAGATAAAAAAAAAAAATGATGTTAAATTGTAAATTGACTGGACTGCATACTGACAGAGATAATAGGGCTTGGCATATATATATATCAGAGCTGTGTACAAGAGACCAATGGTAGCCAATATGCATACATTTAGTTTATATATTACAATGAGGCCTGTCTAATCACAAGTCTTTATTATTCTGACATTCTGTATACTGGTATGTTGTGTCCCAGTGTGTCAGCTTAAATATTCAACTGACAATAGATTGTAATGATGAAACAAATTCTCTTGAAATTTCTGGTAAACACTTGACTTCATGAGTAATATTTTTTTATCTTGTGTCTTTGCTGCCTTACAGAAACATGGCTACCAAACCACTCCAGCTGCGCTGTACATCTAAGTCTGGCCAGCAGGTTCTTACGGGTCTCACCCTCTCATCCAGTGTGGGCGAAATGATGACCAAGATATCAGAACTGACCAAAGTAAAGAGGGACTGGATAAAGATTAGAACCGGTTATCCTCCGAAAGTTGTTGAACTTTGTGATGAAAACAATTTATTGACTTGTCTTCCATTCAGGTCCGGAGACACCATCATCGTAGAAGAGGACCAAAGTCTTGAACGTGAAAATAAACAGAAGCGAATTGATAATGTCATTCAGACTCAGAGCCTACAGAATCAAGGCATGTTGATGAGGAAAGTCGTACCCGCAAACAACTCTTGTCTATTTACCAGCATTTACTCCCTGATGAATGACGGAGAACTCGACTTATCCTGTTCTCCCATGATGAGAGAGTTAATAGCAGGTGTTGTTCTTAGTGATCCTCAAACATTCAACCAAGCATTTCTTGGCAGGTCCAATTCGGATTATTGCAAATGGATCATGGATAAGGAGTCTTGGGGTGGAGGTATAGAAATTGCTATCCTGTCAAAATATTACGGTGTAGAAATAGACGTTGTGGATACTAAGAGTGGTAGAATTGATCGGTTTGGAGAAGATCAAAATTACCCGGAAAGAATTCTAGTTATATACGATGGGATTCATTATGATCCACTTGTATTAGAACCACTTATCCCCGGCGAAACAGTTACGACCATCTTCTCGACAAAAGAAGCATCAATCCTCGCTCAAGCAATGGAAATAGCAGACGAAGCTAAAGCGTCGCGTCAATTTACAGATGTGTCGTCGTTTACACTGAAGTGTCTGATCTGTCAAAAACAACTTACCGGCCAAACTGATGCACAGCAACATGCCAAAACCACAGGTCATATAAACTTTGGGGAGGTTTAATTTTCAAATCCAGTTTAATATATATTTTAATTCATAGTCCATGATTATAATGATATTACTTAAGAATCTCTAGTTCAGATATATTTTTCTTTCATTTCAAACAAATCAAAAGTGATGTTTATTCATTTGAATAAATAATGAACAGATATGCAGTCCAAAATAAGGCTTCATGACTTTTATAATGAGATCATTCTATTTATATGCTTTGTACAAGGAGTCAGGACATCTTGATTTGACTGAAGGACAAAAGCATGAGCATTATATACCTGAAAGGAAACTTTTTACTCAAATTATGCATTGAATAGATAAAAAAAACATGATATTATGAAATGCAGCAATGTCAATTTATTAATTATAATCATTTCTTTGTCGAATGCCCTAATAAGATTCATATTACGGTATATGCTTTACATGTTTCCACAAAATTGACATAAAACAAAAAATAGAATTTACAGCCATTATGACAAAGGAAAAACTGTCTCTGTACTCTTTTTAATACTGAAGAAGGTCTTCAAATGAGTGAATATGCTTTACACATATATGGCTGAAAACTTCTAAGTCATTAATTTGAACATTTTTTTTTTTTTTAAATATTCCGTTGAATGTTATCTTGACAAATAGAATTATTTTCAACAGCATTAACATGTACCAGTAGCCTGTTATGATTGACGGGTTGTAGAATACATCAATACCTTGTTTAATTTATTGAAATATCTTTACATTTTCTGTATTCACAGCTTAAAGACTTATCTTAATACCCTAAATCATAGTACATATTATTTGTACATTGTTTCATTGTGTATGGATGTTTGTACAATGTATTTCTGAACATTTCAGTACAGTATATATCCACCAAGACTGGTGGTTCTAACAATTGCTATTACGTATATACCTGGTAATGGAAAGCAAGTAAAAGTGTGTAGTCCTTTTAGTCCAAAGTAACTGACCATCTTCTTTCATAAACATGTGATGAGTCAGAAACCCGTGAAAAAAAGATTGAAAGGAGATCAATAGTCAGTTGGCCTTTCTTCTTGTTAAATGATTCATTAAAACTCAGATTTTTCAGGTTTACCTTTGGAAAATTGTGGTCTTACCCATTTGATGTTGTGTTTTCACATGTAACTGTAAAAATAGATTGTGAAGCCCCAATGACCATGTTATAACAAAATTTAATTCTAACTTACTTCATCAGAAATTACATATTTCAGTACATTTCTTCGAGAACATTGAAAACTGGGTTATTTCCCTTTATACATTATGGACCTGAGAGTCATTATAAGGTTTCAAAGAATAAAGTTTTTTCTCTTTTTTTATTGCTGTCATATGACTAACAGTTGACTCAGGGAATTTAAAAATAACTTACAGTAATGCTGAGTGAATTTCCCTTCCAAATGACTAACAGTTACGCTGAGTGAATTTCTCTACCAAATAATTGACACATTGCTAAGTGACTAACTGTATGGCTGAGTTAATGTCCTTGTAGTCAGATAAAAGCTAACCAGTACTCGTGTTTGTGTATATATACTGGGACCAGTGTTTGTGTATATAAACTGGGTCAGGACCAAATAATGTGATGAACCAGGTATAAATGTCAAATGACAGGTGATGTACCCAGTTTATAGAGACCTATGTGAAAGTAACAGGCTTTGAACATTTGTTATGTATAACTATAGGAATGGAATATCAATATAGTTTCAGCAAAAGTCTACCAATGTTGTAATTATTGTTTAATAATTTAATCTTGCTTGTAACAAGCATTTTCATTGGCTTAAAAAATTATGTTATCAGCCCGTAACGTAAAAAATGACGTTGCCGTTTGTAACGTCGCTTTTGATTGGCTGATACAGCAGCTCAATAATTTTGAAGAGAAAAGAGTCCATCAATAAAAGTGGATTTCCACAGGGATTGTGTAAAGTAAATTAAATTATAAGGATTAACTTGAATATATTTTTCATGTTATGGAGCTATACGCTTCACGGTTTATTTAGAGTACACTCCGTTTTTTTGTGTTATATCTCCATAACATGAAAAAAATATTCAAGTAAATCTGTAAATAATGACTGTTTTAAAAAACAGGATTTGTATAAATGTTTAGATGTATGGGTACCATTCATCTTTTTATATATATATAACTGGGTAAATTTATTTGGGAAAAGTCACATTTGCATTATAAATTTATGTCATTTGCAGCTTTTTCTTTAGAAAGGATCCAGCTTTTATGATGCCATTAAATAGTTCACTAATCTGCAAAATTGCTCCTATGCATAATCCTATGCATATTGCATATATTTACACAAACAATTTAAATGTACAAATAATGTATGATTTGATGTAAGCTATCTCAAGTCTGTTGTGTCTATCTATTTAAACATGTACATATCTATATTTATCAAAATCAGTGGGTTTTTGTATTCATAAGTATTTGTAATGTATGAATGCATGCTTTTTAGCATTTGATGCGATTCAGTCTCAAAATAGATGTTCAGATTGTATTTGTTTAAATTGAATAAAATCAAACAAGTTGTATGTCCTTGTTTGATCTTTGAGTTTTATCTCACCTCAACCAAAAGAAAATAAGTCATGATTTGTGGTATTTCATGTGATTAAAGTGTGCTGTTCGTCTGCCGGTTTTACAATCAATATTTGAAGATGGACATTCGACTTAAACCTGCTACCATAAATGATCATGACTGCTCCTTGAATATCATAAGCCAATTTTAATTAATTGGGGCCTCTAAAAAAGAACAAGAATAGGGTGAAATTTGTGAGATTTTCAAACATCTGGATATTAAAGTTTTGGTATATAATGTCATATTTCATATTTAGCATTGTCTATACAGGGGTTGTTTCAAATCTTCGAACCTCACTTTAGAGGTTATATACTGGGATCAAAGGTCAACATTGATATTGACCAGTGTTGCCATTAAGGATGCTACTTTGACATCTCCTTTCAAAGAGAGTTCCACAATAAAACACCTGTAAACATATTTGATGGATTAATTGTAATTTTGACTGAGTTAATTAAGCAACTCATTACTCATATGAAACCACGGAATTAGATTAGTTATAGTTGTTATCTAAGTCCGTGTATGAAACATATACAATGATGCATGCTTAGGGAAATCATTGAAAATTATCATTTGTACCTAGCATACAGCCTTCAGTAAGTATGCACAACATAAAGAATTTATGTTCCAAGGGAGATCACCCATATAAGAATTTGCATATAGTAGGCTAGCTAGTTTTCATACCAGATGCAGGTGCCTGTGGGTTTCTGAAAACAAATACACTGTAGAACGGTCAGTTCGTCTTCATTTTTTCAAAGATTTTAATACCGGTAATCAAAGATGTCACATATTCTCAGATGTGATATAAACCCAGGTGTAATATATTCTCAGATGTAATATAAATCCAGGTGTAATATAACTTCAGATGTAATATAATTCAAGATGTAATAGAATTGCAGATGTAATAATACTTGCAAAAAATTTGGCCCAAAAATCACCAGCATTGGGTAGTGCGCATGCACTCTCCACCAAAACGACGGAGTTTCAATTCCCTGATAGGATGTGAAAAGATGTGGGTCACCTGCCCGACCATGAGAGTTTTCTCCGGGTACTAGGGTTTCCTTTTACATAAAAAAAAACAAAACAAGTGCGCGCTTCCAAGCGGGCCAACAAGAATGATTGGTATAAGTTTATTAAACTTGTTTCATAATTGTTAAAATTAATAAAGTTTACCAGGATTAAGTCGTTATTATGTTGAAATCAAACTTCATATCCCATATGTTACAGCAGAGACTTAAAATTTAAACTCCACTTGATACGAACTCTGTGTGATAATGAGTGAACACTGAGTTTGTGTTAACATTTCATCATAACGAAGCATGTAATAAAGATTAAAAGTTATTTCTAGCGGTTTTGTGAAACAGCGTGAACGATACGTGTCCTTTTGGCCTCTTGTGTAAACCAATAGAACACATATGTTAAGCCTATAGTTTGCATCATTACTGTATAGATTTACCTCAGTGTTACCATTACTTTAAGCATGCATTTTCTTAACTTACTTTATCGTGCCTAGATTGTTGAATGAGTCTTATGTGAAATATATCAAAGGATCTGATAGATTATAAAAGAAAATAAATGTTATTTAAACATGGAATTTAAATGAGTGCAAACCTTGTTCCCCATTTCTCCTGTACAGTACCATTGCCTTACTCAACCCCCTTCCACCTCCCTCCCTTCAGCCCACCCAACACTGCACTCCTCCACTGACCCTGTCCTCCCCATCCTCTTTCAACCTCCCTCTCCCCATTCTCGCCACATTTCTTTTCCTTGACAATCCTTTAAAGATATTCCCCCCTCTTTTTGGGCCTATCCTCCTCCCATCTCTGTTATTTTACCTCTTGACTACTTACTTTATCTGATATCAGGCCTTTCCCTACTCTTTACACAACTTCTATTCAGCTTATTCGTCTTCTTCATTTCATCTCTTTTTTAAGCTCACCTGGCACAAAGGGCCATTTGAGCCTATGCCGTACTGCGGCGTCCGGCCGTCTGTAGTCCGTTCGTCAAATTTTGTTTTGATAGACTTCTTCAGAAGAACTGGAGGACATAGGGTCATGATATTTGGCCAGTAGGTACCTGGGATGGAGTGCTATAAAGCTTCATGATTAAAATGATCTTGACCTACTTTCAAGGTCACAGGGGTCAAATATGTTAAAAACTTCAAACAACAATATCCTAAGAACCATATAGTCATGATACTTGGGTATGTTATGTAGATAAGCAGTGTGAATCTTTTACGCAATAACAGTAATGAGGTCAAAGGTCAACTTTAAGTGCTAGTCGGGGGTCAAATGTCAACATGGGTTAAAAGCTTTAACAACCTTATTTTCAAGTTCCATAAGGCCCATGGTCATGCTATTTGGCCAGTAGGTACCTAGGATAGTATGCTATAAAGCCTCCTCATTAAAATGATCTTGACCTACTTTCAAGGTCACTTGGGTCAAATATGTTTAAAACTTCAAACAACAATATCCTAAGAACCATTTGGACTAGAGTCATGATACT